GGTCCTGATGCTCATGGCAGTTTTTCGAGCTAGAATAAATCCGCTCCTAAAACGTAAAGATGGCTCACTATGTGTCGCTATTGTTTATTACCTATGTAATCCATCCGCATATATATGTTTTTATGTTAAATAATGCAAGAATTTATTATTTTGATTTGTCTTTATTATGACCAAGTATTATAAATTCAATACTTTGTTTAATTACATTCGCAATTAAATTTCTTGCAATGAAACCGAGACGTAGCTCGTTGCCACTGGTATATAGGTCTTTCCCTCGATGAATGTTGCTGAAACAAATAAGTTTAACATTATATTTTGTACCTGAGTAAAAACCTGTACTGAGTAATGACTGTCTACAAAGATGAATCTCTCACCTATGATACTAGTTCTATCAGACCAGCAATAGCTATAAGAATGTACTTTGTTTACACACCTACTAAATATAATTAAGTGAAATTACCACTGTACTTACTTATTGAGAGTATCATATCTCCTAATAGTGTTTCCCTATTTATGAGAGGTGTATTTACTCTATAATTCTTAATTTTTGTTTCCATAAGTCATGTTGATTTAATTTGTAGCGTTAATGTTTTAATGAATATTTAATTTTTTAATTATTTATATAGTTTTTATTCGTTAGATACATGTTTGGCTGTTAAATTATAAACAGTTATTAACTATTATTATTTATCTATTTAATTATTAATTATCCTTCTGAGCGTTGCTGATTTATTGATCTCGATATATTATTATTATAATTTTTCTCCTTCATATAGGAGCATTACATGATTTGTTTGTTCATGTGTCTTCTGATGTTTATTTACTTATTATTATAATTTTTTATATTTCATTCTTGTTAGATCGTTTCTACCTTTCTTTTAATATTAATTATAATAGCGTTGTGTTAAGTTGCTCACTATTTTCTTATCTTTAGTGTATTATTTTAACTATTTATTATTATTTATGTATATACAACATGACTGGAAACATTAAGAGTTGAAGATTTAAGTAAGATCTGGAACTTTATGTGCTGGTCTGGAAGTCCGTATAGTCTTTACTAATAGCAGCGTGGTCTGAGACCTGTTTATAGAATAAGAACGTATACGTTAACTTACATTGCACTGCTGAATATACATCTCATCCAGTCGTTGAAGTCCTGAGTAATTCAGGCTCGCTCTCTTCCAGCGATGTGGCTCTGAGATGTGCGTAATCCATACCGATATTTATCTGAATCTGATCTCTTGGGATACGTCATGCCACTGCATCATGAGGGAGTAGCAGTGAATAGATGTCATCTCAGCTGGTCTATATCTGTTGAGAAAATGTGTAAATACAGTTTATACATAACAAACTGGTATTATAATAGCAGCAAAGAAGAACTAATACAGCCAAGAGTGAGCAATGTGATTCAAACATCACCAGAAGTCTCTCACCTGAATTTCTTCTCTTCTACTGGACGGATATCTTTTTGAACGACTGCATGGAGACTTCCCACCTCCATGCAACATTGGCGGGACAGGAGATGGTTACTCCTGCGAACAAATCAAATTATGTGCTGTTTTTCGTGTACCTACTGGATAGTTTCTCGTTGACGACTGTGTTGAAACTTCCCATCTCAGCACAACAATGGCGGGACAGGAGAGGATTACTCCTGTCAAAAAATCAACTATAATTTATGGACAATGAGTAAAATGAGTGAAAAATCACCCCCTACTGCCTCTCGGATGGTAGTGGGGCGGCCTCGTGGGGAGAACCCGCTCTCCGTGCGGTCGTCATCGCGCAACGGGACCCCTCCTGCAGTGGGAAAGCAGGAGGGTCGTGGCGCTGGAGGTCGAGTCCCTGCCTCCAGTAGGCCTTCGTTAATTGGCGTAGGGCAGGTAGGTGATGAAGTACCTGGTCAGATTAATGATCAGAGATTTGGCAGGGGTGACTCCTATCCCAAGGAGACCTCTAGCAATGTGGAGCTGGATTCGGCCAGATTCCCGGATCCTGGAATTGCGAATGTAGATAGGTCACAGGAGTATGTTGACTATCCTATGGAAAGTAGTCTCCGTAGTAAGGATAGAGAAATTGGTAACTTACCAGGATGCAGTAAGGACACTGACGGACAAACCGACGATGTGATCAGCTTAATTGAGTCAGACGATGACGTTAGCTTTGTCTCATATTCATACGCGGGCATGGAATCCTCCGCCAACTTTGGTGAGAGTCCTGCCTACTCGGCTGGTAGACCGAAGAAAAGAAGATTGGGCTCCTCGCCTAAAAATAAAGAGAAAGATCGCTTAACCATAGGACAGAAATTGGAAATTGATGATAGAAGGAACATGATAAAATTCCTTAGCGTAGCTGATGCGGGAAATCAGGTCGTGGAATGGCTTAGTGAAGTGGAGAACTGTAGGAGGAAATCTAGTTCTTTGCAGGGCCCGGTCAGTAAGGTGATGAAAGTCAACCTTTGGTCGGCGAAAGGAGCAATCGAGGATATCATCTCCAGGAAAGAGGCTAGAAACAAGGATGTTATACAGGGAGTTCATTACCAGGAGCTCAAAGAAGAAATTAATAAATTAAAGGAGGAAAATAGGATGCTTAGACAGTCTGTAAAAGTACTTACGGATAAACTTAACAGCAAGAGGCCTTCTTTTGATAGCAACCCTGTGGATCGACCAGCGTACTCCGCCGTTGCCAAACTTCGCTCGGACGAAGGAATGGGCAGTCGTCCTTTCGCGGCGGTACGGGAGATAACTAGAACAGAGAATACTGGTTACATTAAGAATAACAATAGAAATGTTAATAAGACAGATAACAGTAGAAAGGAAAAACGGAGAATAGCGAATGAATTACTTGTTCGCTTTACGGAAGCGATGAGGTCGCTGATGTTGGATGATACGGTTGAATTGGCGAAAGATAGGACACTGAGTAGATCTGATATCCCGGAGATTCGGCGTGAAAGAGTGGAAAGGCGCCTGAGACCAAGTCTGAAACTGTCACTGGCGGACAATACGCCGGCATCTTCCTCTGATATAGGGGGAAGAGACTCGGAGAGGTGGGAAGTTCCTAGAAGAAGCAAAAGAAGAAGATCGGGTAATGGCGTATCGGATGCGGATTTCGGGAGAGGGAATGAGCAAAATGATAGAGTAAAAGACAATTACCCAGTACAACAGCGTACTCCACGTCCGGCGGCTTCCAGGAGGGCCAAGCCGAAGGCGTTTTCTCCCAACACGGCGGCTGTATCAATAGTCGTGGAGGATGGTGGCCCGTCGTACGCTTCCATACTTGGTAAAGCTAGAAAGAACATCCCACATCAGGAGCTCGAGGGTCTAGACACAAGGGTCAGACGTGCTCTTTCGGGTGGAGTTCTTCTGGAACTAAGAGGCACCAACTCATCTGAGAGGGCCGATGCACTAGTTGAAAAGATGAGAACTGTAATAGATGATCCAAGAGTCAGGATCAATAGACCAAATAGAAATGCAGATTTGAGACTCACGGGATTTGACGATTCGGTCACGGCGGATGAAATCAGACAGCAGATCTCTGCGTCTGGCTGCTGTCCCCTGGAGAGTGTCAGAGTCGGTCCGATCAGGATCGCTAGAGACGGCCTTGGGATAGTCTGGGTGCAATGCCCATTGCAATCCGCGTTGAAACTCTCTGACGTTGGTAGCATGAAGCTAGGATGGGTCAGGGCCGTTAGAGTGGACCTGCTCCCGACCAGGCCGGTCAGATGCTATAAGTGTTTTGCCAGAGGACACACGAGACATCGCTGTCCCAGCACGATTGACAGATCTGGTTCGTGCTTCATACGTGGAGATCCTACGCATAAGTTGAACAAATGCAAGTGTCGCCCGCACTGTCCTGTGTGCAGCGAGAGGGGTTTACCTGACGGACATAGGGCTGATAGTGAGGAGTGCCCGCCAGTGTTACCCGGTCCTCTTCACAACTTAAGAGACAGCTCACTTAATGGATCTCAATCATCGCGGGGGAAATCCACCAGTCGGGATAATAGCGCACATGGGAATGATACATTGAATATTCCGGATGTTATTAACAATATGGATATTGAACTCACAAAATGATAATTACTCAAATTAACCTTAGTTGCTCGACAGTACTGGACTCAAAAAATAATATGATTGTTGAGGTAGAGACACATGTTACTGCCATCTTGGTATTAGTATCTCTCTTTGCGAGCTGGAACATTGATAGATGGTGTGGTTATATGACCATTTCGTATGTAGAATCATTGACGGGGATTATTCCCTTTAAATTTAGGGCGGAGCGTCTTGCGCGTATATATCGGAGAGAGAGGGAAGAGAATGCGAAGATTGTGACCCTCTCTCACTGCGTGAAAGAATTAAGGAGGGAGGCAGATGGTGGGATTATTGAGGGAAATTCTCTCTGCGGGGTAAGTAATGTTCGATTGAGGAGAGCGGATTAAGAGACGGTCAAGAAAGAGTTGGACAAATTTCATGTGTGTGTGTGCCTCGTTGAGTTTTGGAGCCCTCGTTTTTGTTGTCTTGGTTTTCTCAATGTTTTCATGCTCACTAGTAAATTTGTAGCGTACGAACACACCTGGTGTGTACTTGAAGGAATAGCTGCCTTCAGGTGCGTGTTCTCATTGAGTGTTTCCATGTGAACATGTATTTTAGGTATAATAGCTCATGTTGGGCTTAACCCGGGTGGGATTTTCTCCCTTCAGGAGACACACGAGGAGTGTTGTTGTCCTTGTTCCTCTCTCGGTTGAACCCTCCCATTGGAGGTGCGTAGTTGTATTTACTGGATGATTGACTGATCGATAAGATTGAGTATATATCTGTGTGTGTCTTGAGATGACGATCGAGTGTGTTGCCCTTTGAGGCCAAGACCAGGGGGAGGGTTCGTGATGAGTTGTTCCGTCAACGTTCCAGGACCCTCCCCCGCCACGGTCGTTGTGTGCATAGAGGAGGTTTAGTGGGTAGGCGAGGCTGGGTGGCTTTTCGTTCGACGTGCCACCCACTCGAATCCCACACTCCCCACCAGTCGTCAGGTGGGGGTCTTGTGAAGATTCCTCCTCTACTAAACGTAAAAAAAAAAAAAAGGTTAAGGTTGGGGTTAGGATAGGTTAGGTGACTCCCTCGTGATGGGCCACCTTGTCGTGGTGAGGGGGCTCCCTTCTCCAATGACCACCTGTTGGCAGTACCGGGGTTCTACTCCGGGAAAGCCCGGGTGCGAGGCGCAGGGTCTAAGGCCCATCGAGCGGGTGTTCCCGCAGGCGTGTCGCCGCATCGCTGAGTCTTCCTGGCGGTGCGGCAGACACATGCCATGGGGGGGGCTTGCTTCCCCCGGGAGACGGGCTGTGAGGCCGCCCGGACGTATTCCGGGGCAGGGTCCACAGTCTGGGTGCCGTCGGGGCCGCTCGGACATATTCCGAGGTCTGGCTCCGGCGGCACGGTGTGTTACGGGGCAGGTCGGGCTCCTTAGCCGGGCTAAGGCAACCGACCTAGGGGAAGGCCACCCCGAAGTTAAACCATTTTCATAATATTCATGGAAATGGACAACATAAAGGGTACAAACTTACTGGGCCAGGGGTTTCGGAGCC